CCACATATTAAACTATATGTTACGACTTTACGAGTCGGTCGATATATTTTACAAGTGGATGGGCCCACCTATATAGAATTTACTTAACAGCAGCTTGTCTGTTTGTATAGTGTGAACGTAGAGTCGTGTTTTCCAAACGTTTGTGTACGCTGTCGTTTACACGTAGAGAAACAATAGCACTCCAGTATTATTATAATATACGTACATTATATATGACGCCTTATATTACAATTTATAATTATTATCGTTGTAAAAAAAAAAAAAAAACTGTGTGTGTGTAAAATATATTTTTTCTAAATCCCTAGAACGTATTTTAATGCGAATCTAATCGGAAATCATAATCAATTATAATGTATACATCGCGACTTCGCCCTTTTGGGCGGCCTGCAAGATTGCCTGATTTAAATATTCACGCATGCAACCAACGCTCACGCATCATATTTATTAAATATTATTGTCGTTGCTATGTGTAAACTTCGATCGCAATTTTATTGTGCTATAGGATTCGCTGATACACTTCTCGATATGGCATCGTATTAAGATAATATATTGTTGCAACAAGACCTCACGATGTTAATAATTACAATAATTATACATTATGTACTTTGTGTTTAGACTATATATGAATGTATTTTTTTTTATCGAAACTGAAATCGATCATGCGTGCAACATTTTTTTTTATTTTAAAATTGAAATACATAATCAATGCTCTTCCCAAAGTTAATGATAATCTGATACATACATATATAACATTAAATAGATTAATATATGTATGAAATTTACTCCCGTTAGAGAAGTTTCTTGTGAGAATGTTACTAAGACAAATTAAAGTCTGCATGTTTATATTTATAGAAGTCATCGTAAGGGTTGGTAAGGCAAGACATGTCCTGTCTATTATTCATTTTTGGTTTTATGTCTACTCAGTTTTATTTTTTTTTAATTTTCAGTAAATGATACTACGTGATGGAAGTAGGTAATATAGTTTTCTCCGCATATTAGTGGTTCATAGAGAAACTTTAAAGTCAACTAACATGATTTTATTAAACATCTTTATTATTTCGTAATGATTCTTACCAAATTTGCTAAAAGTATTTATGTACTCCGTTTTTTAAATTGATATTTGCATTCATTCAAGCGTACTAATTTATGATATTTTAACTTTATCTATAAAACAAACAATCCACGATTAAATATTACAATACGCATGTAACGAGTATACATTATAATTTATAACTAATATAACTTGGACACGAGTGAAAAATGTTATTAGAAGATTTAACTAAAATTAATTGTTCCTAATTGAGATTTAAAAATTAAACGTGGATCCTTATAAGATATTATCTATAACAATTAAACTTTTTTTTTTTAAAACTAAATTGTTTTAATTATATTTAGTTAGCTTATTTTATCTACTATAGATAATATACTTATTAATCTATGTCTAACATAAACACATTTTTTTTTTTTTTTTTGGTAAATAGAATTCTAGGAAATTATGTTAATAACTTAAAGGCTTCAAGGATTGAAAATATTTTATATTATTCATTTTTAATTCCCATAATTTTGGTAAAATGACAAATTTAAATAAGACGTACTTGTCTTTATTAAAATTTTAGTTATTTTTGCTAATATATTTTGGGTTTAGATGCCTTTCAAATTGAAAAAAATAATAAGAATATGGAGGATCAATCTTAATGTAATATCTCAATCATAATTATCACGCAACCGGACCTAATACTATATTTAACGTATATTACGTAGATTCTTCAATAACTATATTTTTTTAAATTATTTCAAAAACTATAAAGGTGCATATAATATAAATAATATTATACATAGAATTAGTTTCTAGGTAATACATGCTTAGTGGTTGTAATAATAAAATAAAATTTTATTGAAACTTAAAAATGATTCATACTTTCCTTCTGGTCATTAATCGATTATCAATATAATAATAGTAATAATATTGTGAGAATTATTAAACAAGGTCTAATTTATGAATAATTTAAAAAAAATCACGATATACTACAGCACTACAACTATATTATAACACTGTATTTTTATAATTATATACTTACATCATCATATTACAGTATCACATAGTATGTCTAAAAACTAAAGTCATGAAATCTTAAATTTTACGTGGTGTTCATACAAATATGGGACTTTTGAAGGCCTAGTATAAACTTATTCTTAGAATTACTGTATATTTTGTATAATCATTGCATGTGCATGTTATTCTAATATAATAAAAATATATCCCAAGCCAATTTATGGTTTTCAAACTTTCTAGACATACTATATGGATTGTATAGACGTATATAATATAATATGATTGATTATTTTTCAAAGAACTTATTTGGAATCATTATAGTTAAAAATGTCTGTACTGTTGTAGTCTGTAATTTGATTAGTCATATTATATCAAGTTTTGTTAAACATAAAACAATTATTGAAGTACAAATCAATTAGGCCATTTAAACTAATTATAAAAATACATTTACTGTTATTCCGTTTAAAAAAATATTATTACTAATAATTTTACTCAGTAACCAATATAACTATAATAAGTATGTAATATGTAGGAATTCAAAGTCAGGGGCATAATACAGTAATCACTTGTAAAATTTGTAAGAAAACTCATAAATGACAATAATATATTTATTTTTATGTCCTCAACCAAAATTATACTTTGATACTAAATTAAAAAACTAACCTGCTTCCTGAATGAAGTATTCATTTTGCTTATTTCATCAGAAGACAATAGTGTTTTATTTTTACCGCATTTGGAAGACAAATCTAAGTAGCTTAATCCGCCCAAAAGAATGATCAAGGTTTTTGAAACCCTAAATATTCCTTCAGGCGCCATTCACTTCATTAAATGATTGCCAATATGACACTGGTTTTCAAAATTGTATTATATGTACGCTAATACGTCATGTGTAATTATAATATTATATATGTACATAGTATAGTTGCACAGCAGCGGCTAGGTTCTGCAACGTGGGACAGTCGTCGCGAGTGTGCGCCTGCACTCATATTTAATAAAGTTGAATTGTTTTCTAACCATAAACATAAAAAAATTACCGAAACTTGTTTTCCGCTGCCGGCGAGCGGATCTACAAAGGATTTCATAGTATACAATTATAGGATCGGATCACGATTATTGAACAAGTACACCGAGTGGGTAGCCAGGTAGCCGGTAGGTAACTATGTAGTATATCGTACATATATATTAAATACTTATACATATTATAATAGTTTTGTATTACTGTATTAGAATACCTACGCGATTCAATCGTTACATTTCAATGTAATATTATTGTCTTCATATTAAATGCTAACTGTCTTCGCAGGAACACGTTTTGTTTTTAAGAAAATCCTTTGACGTTTAAGTATTGTAACATATATAAATTACCTACGCATTATTCTTGCACCTATAGTCTGCTATAAAATATTGGTCTTATAATGCAAAGGATTAAAATCGAAAGTAATACAAATAAAGGTAATAAAAAAATAATAAAATTTTACGCGTTTTATAATCCTTAATATTATAATGTAACGTTGGTAAAAAATCTGAAACACCATGATTGTTAGTATTTACGTTTATTTGTTCTGTCCGTGCATTTCGTTTTAATAATTCTCCATTGTCGTAGGTACATTGTACGTATTTTAGTATTTAGCCACAGTTGTACCTATATACAAATATATACTAAAAACTTATTCATACATATATAACTAAACATAAACACTCTCTTTGTGAACTCTCAGTAGGTAACACAGCGAGAAAATATACTTCGCACGCGTCGACGACGTAGGCGTGCGCCGAAAAGAAGCGGTAAAAATATATAGTTAGATACAATTTGTTTTATAAAACGTTCAAACGTATAGTACGTAGAATACAATAAAATAATATGCTTCATCATTCGTACACACTTATAAATATTATATTCTGGCGAGTTCAACATAATGCGTGCGCACGTGAGATTTCATTTATTTATTTAACTCGTGTTTGCTGCGCGAACATTTTTCATCATGATTATAAACATGTGATAAAATATTTATATCAAAACAAATATGACATACGACATACTGGAACAGTGCACCTATTATGATCAATGGTTCAACTAGCGGCTGGAATATCGTTTAAGTTCTTATATCTATACATAGATGATTTGTGTTTTGTGACTAAAATTTCAAGTTAAGACAGAACTGTTTGATTGTTTCGTGTTAAAACCTAGAATCATAATTGATATATTATTATTATTATATAATTTCCACACTTCGTTACCTTATATAAAAGTACGCGTGTTGTGTCACATAAATATAGATAGGTATTATAAATTCCAATATAACACAATAATTCAAAACTATATTTATGTATAGGTATCATAGAATATAGAGTAACCGATTTATAGCTTAATTTTATGCTTAATACATATACTTCCTATATGGAATATTGCTTAAATTTTATTTTAATATTGATGCGTCGGATTTAAATGTACGAGTATATAAAAAATCGATTATACCCGCGTGAAGCTGCGAGAATATTTATGACATATATCTATAGCACACATTTCATATTTTCCATTTAAGGATTGTCCAAAAGAGGACGAGAAAAAATAAGAACAATAAAACATATAGGATTCTGCACACTATTATAGTACCTACCCATTACAATAATATTATCATGATAAAGTAGTGTATATATAGTATACCGCAGATAACCGATAGGTTTGTGCCAGGACTCGTCTCGACAGACGTACCTATTTACGACGCGTATAATAAATATTTCAAATAATCGATCGAGAGATTGTGCGACGGTGGTTCGTCGTTTATGCCGAATCCTATCGATTACTTCGGTCTGCGGATTTTCGGCCACAAACGGATTCCCACCGCAATGATAATAATAATAACAACAACAGTCGTTTCGTAGAGCGGCGCACCTGATAAATGTGGGCGGGTACCACGCGGCGGCACTCGGCCCGCGCGTATCCGACGAAAATCATTCCTTCGTCGTTCAATCGCCGGCGAAGAACGATACCGTGTAAACATTGTCTGACAGTAACAATAATATATATCTTATATTACATAGTTATGTGCCAATAACGTATTGTTATCCAGTCATGGATGTTTCTATTGGGACCGACGATGGTCTTTAACACCACAGCTTATATACGTTCATTATAAATACGATAAAATACAAAATATATCTTACTGAACTATGAGAGATCGGTTTTTTATTTTTTTTTGTTTTTCAAAGAATCTTTTTTTTTTCCTTAACTTTGTTTGATGTTGCAAAAGTCCATCATACACGGTTTGATACTGAATAGGCGCAAGTGTTGAGACTGCGGCGCAAACGGCGGAAACCCGTGGAGTGTAGTATGATAAATGGAGAACGGATCTCATTCTACTTTCAAACTAAATATAATCTCCCGTAAGTATGGCAATACAATTTATAATAGTACCTACATATCTATAGACTATAATACTATAACAAATTTACAATATGCTCAAAGCTTATTTCTATTGCTCAAAATTTTAAAAATAAATAAATATAACGTGTGTTGGCCTTCAAAAATAAAAATAATCTTCTAAAAATCCTCCACAGAACAAACGATTTGATTCATTTCCATATTAAAACACGCATGATTGCTCGAACACAATAAACAATATTATTAAAAACGTATCACTATGTTATAGATATTCGTACATTATACATCTAGTAGGTACTACACTTTTATATATATTATATACATCATACTATATATGCTTTGATGCTCATCATTCGTCAATACATAAAACAAGATACTACATGTTATAAAATAGTATACAAATTACATGGATACACCTACCTGATGTTTATTAAAATGTATAAATGATAGTTTAATGCTTAAACAATATAAAAACTCTAAATATTGTTAACATTATCATTGTATAAGATTACACCTACCTATTAGTGTGAATAATTTAATAAACCGATTATTCGTATACTACAGATATTATACTTCGTCAATTCTTTCAATAATTTTCAATTTTTTGCGGTATAAAAATCGATTAAATTAAAAATTGATAGACCACAGTACCTTACGATAATTGTTTTATAAATATAAAGTTAATAAATATTTCAATAAAAAACATAATTTAACATTTAAACTTATTAGTTATTATATATACTACATAAGATTATATTGTATGGTACTCAGTATTCACATTAAAATTAAAATTAGTTTAAAATTTTACATATTATATTCTAGGTAAAAATTTTTATTTATTTTTAAAATATAATTATTCGAATTTCTATGTATTATGAACATTATTGTTGTCCGTCTATTATCTCATAGCAAAATGCATTGCCTTTGAATATACATAAATTATAAAGCGAATTAAAAAATTGTTCATTAATCAATGTATCCGATTTTTCATTTCGAACTATATTTACTGTCTACTGTAAGTTATGATGAGTTTTTTAAGAATATTAACCGATATTTCATTTTAACTAGATTCAAGGTAATAATGATTTCAACTGTATTTATTATTTAGTAATACTATCGTTTTAAGATGGTATCTATAACTATTATTTTAAGCAGTCAAATATTAAAATTATTATTTGTTATATCCTTATATCTGTTGGTAATGAGTAATGAGTAATGACATAATATATTATGATGTTAATCGTATATAGCTGCATTATATCGTTAATAATAATAATAATGTGTAATTAAATAATGTCACATTTTAATATATTCAATTTAATAAGTTCAAATTTAAAATCATTTATCCCTCGTGAATGTTAACGCATTTGAATTTTGATAGATTTTAATAGCGACATCATAGGTCGTAACCACAATGGTCGTATAGTGTTATACAATAATATGACCTATGTCACCTATGTCCTATAACACTATACAACTTAATAACTAATGGCCTAGTAGCTGATGTCATTATGTTCAATAAAAAAAAAAAACTCTACACAAACTTACCGATACTTACCTATATAAGTTTATATTACAAACACACAGTATATACGTATAGGTAATCAAATTTAAAACCACGGCGTAGGTGTATCATTATTCATTTTTATATCACAGTGATTTATATACTATGTTAATATTCTAACGTAAACTCGCGGATAATAATTTAATATGATATAATATTCATTGTAACATTTACAATGCCATATTTTATTTAATACACTGATGATCTATATGGCGTGCAGTCGCGTGAATAGCTTTTCAATGTACTGCAATAAACGGTAAAGAGGTAATCGGAAACATAATTTCGCGACGTTTTCGTTTACATATTATGCATATATATTGGATGTATGCAATATATAATGTCGTACAGAACACAGAAGGTAATCATCAAAAGACACGCGGTAGCTGACTAGGTATACTTTGACGGCGGCGTCGGGAAAACACTATGGCTATTACATTTTAGGCGCGTATAATAATTACACCAACAAAACGTGTTAAATATTCACGTCTGAGGTCAAGTCGAAGGCCATGTGTTTTGAGGCAATACACATATAGTTTCAAGTCAATGTGTAATGTGTACACAATAAATAATACACTGTAGACACTGCGGAGTTCCGTTGGCAATAAAGACCCCATCGTAGACACGTATTAACGACATACCTATTTTAATATCTGACTGGGCCGTGCCTTTACGGGTTGTTCGTGATCTGCTAGTCGACACGCAACTTTATATGGCCGGGTGGGCACCTACCCTAATTACCGTTGGTGTGTTATATTCATTTATTTTTAGTGAAACGCAGTAGAAAACAATCGACGGTATTTATTTTGCCGGAGAATGCGCGTATAAAGTTGGAATTCAAATAATCCGGCTTCGCGGCTTATTGCATGTAGAGGCATTATACTTTCTATTATTTACGCGCGATGTTTGCTATTCTAAAATATAATGTATATATATATATATATATATATATATATAAATGTTTTGATTAAAATATACCTATTTGTAATACAATTATACTATGTGCTCATCGCTGTGATGAAACCGAAAGAAAGAATTCAATATATTTATGAAAACTTTAAGTGTACATATCACATCTAAAGAGTATGCAAATTTGAACAAAAGGACGTATAATTATCGAGACATCAACGACAGTTTTATAATTTATTATAAGTTAAATCTGCTAGTATAGTAGTAATAGACTAATGTATGCATGTATAATTTATAAGAGCGATTACAGTTAAACTATTATGTGTGTGTTACAAAACCTAAGTAACGAGTAATTGTTTTTAGCCGATTTTGTTTTTTTTTTTTTTTTAATTATAAACTTTAAATTATGTTTAAATCAATTAAAAGGCGAGAATTGAAGAATGTACATTATAAAATCTTAAAATAGGTACTTATCATCAATATAAAATTTCAAAACTATAATAATTATCTACCAGTAATTTTTAAAATATTTTTTTAACTTTTTATGTTGTAAAATAATGAAACTTATTTTTTTTCATATTTATCATAATCATAATACAGTATAAAAGTTATAAATATATGTAATATCAAAAACCAAAATAAAAATGCAAGTGTTTCTATTATTCTAACAATCTATAATTTATAATACGATTAAAATTATTGAGATTTATTTTTACTGTGATAAGTCAAACGACTCTCTCTCTCTCTCTTTTCTTCTTTTTTTTTGTTTGCAAATAAATTGTATTGTCCTTAGTTTATTTTCGTATTGAGTACATCATGCAAGAATTGCAAAATTTAATTTATAGCAACTAACAAGTTATTATTAAGGTAATAAATTAATACAAGACAATAATATATAACCTTATCATTAGATAATCCTAACAATAATTTTATATTGATAGTTTAAATGCTATCAACACAATCCTATGTATAACCACTTTTTCACCAGAAGTATAATTAAATAATTAGAATAAGTAAATATACTTAAAATGTGTTACGTAACGTTTATTGATTCAATAAATATATAATAAATACTAATTGGGTTACTGAATATATTTATCAATAAAAATTAAAAGGAGTTTCACAAAATTCATTAATTTTATTTGTACAGTAAATTATTTGTTACTACGCACTATTAAGACAATTACTAAAACAGGACCAATTTCAAATTAATAAGTGCCCAATTATTATTAGTTCAATTAGTATATCCTACACAGTCAAGAATATATGTAAAAAAATGATAAAAGTAGGTATATTAGTTTATTGCCAATATTAGCTATATTGATATGTTTTTCAATATATAACTGTTATACAATAACAGCATAATCATAAATCAAAATCGGGATTAATTTCATAAATAGAAGTATAAAAAGTAAAGACTACCATAGTATACTTACATTTGCAATGTATACTGGCAAGTATTTTAATCTTTTAAATTTATATTATTCAATTAAGAAACAATTTGATTAAAAAAATCTGGATGCTTTCCCTAATGAGGAGCTTAAAATTTTAGACAACTCATAGAAATATAAAAAGAGAAATTAATATTACAAAATCGATTCTTTATCTATAAAAATTAATAAAGTGTATTAACTATTTGTTCTATCATAAAAGTACCGCTTTCGTTTCCAACTCATGAGCTAAACTTTTATCAAAGATAAATAACTTATCAACCAAACTAATTAAATGTTTAGGCTAATGAGAACAATTATTTTTAGGATTACTATTCACTGTTAAAAGAAAACAGTACAAAATTTTAAATATCTCCTGATAACGCTTTTTCTATTTAACACTCAATATTTAAAAAAAAATTAAGATTTTTTTGTTTAATTATTACTGATGGCTTTTATTTTAAACAGAAAAATAATCTACATCTAATAATAAATGTATCCATTTTTAATTAATAATAATTGATTTAATTTAATATTGAAAAATCTGTACTTACTGTTTAGTAATATTTTGTTTGGTTGTATATTATATTGTAGAATCAAAAAATCGAAACTGCCAAAGACCATTAACTCTTTTTTCATTCATTACGGCTACGGCCAGAGATGGTTCCCAAGTTACGGAAAAACGTCTACAGGACGTTTCTAAAGCATTAAAAGACAATTTGACAAAAGGAACTACAATGAAATGCAAGGAAAAAAATGGTTAGTAAATTATACTATTGTAGTATATAACATATATATATTTATATATTAATACATAAAAAGTAGATAATATTTTTACATACATTGTTTTTTCACTTTCAGTTGTCTATCCCATCATTCACTTTACTGAGGATCGGAATTCGTTGATGTCGGTGCTTCAAGATCAGAACGAAGTAAATGAGCATTTCAAATTACATCAAGGTAAACATAAAACAGTTGATATGAAAAATTAACGTCAGTAATATATGAAATAAAATAAAATATATAAATTAAGTTACCTGGGTCTATATATTATAATATGATATAATTAATATAATTAACGGAAATAAGTATATACGTTAGAAACTAAATTAAGTACATCAAATTGATTTATTAATTAAATATACATTTTTGAGAGAGGTACCTGGCCACTAATTGATTAACTTAAACGGTGTTACTTTTAAATTTCTATATTTTTAAGTTTAATCGCTACTTAATTAAATTGGTTTATTAGTACACTATAAATGTATGATATAATTATTTTTACGGAAATATAAGCTATATTAAAAAGCTACAGTGGTATAGATGTTTATAATTTTCATATTAAAAACAAACACATTTTAAAGAAATTAAATTCAACGACTACATTTTTTCTTATCAAGTTTATATTAGGAAAAAAATTATCAAAAAAGACATCAAAGTCTTAAACTCTACCGATGACTAAATTAAACATATTTAACAGTAAAATTAATGTATATTAATGCACGGGTAAAAGAGAATAACTAAAAATTTTTATTTCTCAGAAAATCAAAAATTCGTATCATTTCTAAATTGATTTTTCATAATTCAAAAAAAATTTAAGAAAGAAAATATTTAAAAAAAAATCAAATATTCTGGTAAATTAAACTACGAAAAATCGTTTTTTCTACTAGAAATTTAATAGAAAAATAATCACATTTAAATTTAATTTTCTTTTACTCCATCGTATGTAATAATATATTATTATAATATTTTATATTTATATATTACCGTTCAAAGACGAAGATTACGTTTTGAGCTTTATATCATCAATTATATTTAATGTATCTATGTATAATGTTTCTATACAACCAAACGATTTTGACTAATGTATTATTGAATATGTACGATATGTTTAATTTAACTTAACAAGCATGTTCATATATCTTTTAATCTCCGCTGTAAATGAATGTATCAGTATCTATTTACACATTCTCACGGTTTTGTCATTTTTATTTCATGTACCGTTGTACGATAAAAAAAATGTATCTATATTGAAGCAAGTTAATTATACAGCTTGCATATATTTATTTTTATTGCACAAAGTGAGTATCAGTGACTATAACCTTATCTTAAAAGAGTTGTTTTTACATCAATTATTTTCACACAAAGTATATAGGTACTAAAATATAAACTTCACTGCGGCATTCTTTCGGTGGACGCGCGTTTTGATGATTTGAATTTACTAATAATTAATATAATATTTATAATTAAATGTTTTTTGAAGGTGTTTATCGAGAAATTAAAAGTATTGAATGTGAGGATGGAAACGGACCATTCGTAACGACTTCAACTAGCATCTCTTACATAGTATCCGGATTCAAACTTCTCGACACTAGTCTAGTGGAGGTAAACATTGCAATGCATATATTGTATTTAATAGTAGGTAGGTTGTTGGTAGATAGTTATTGTAAAAATGAAATATGTATAAAAACTGAACAATGACTATAGGAACACTTTTTCGTTGTGTACATCCATGATACGTCTTTACACGCATTAACGACTAAATTACTCAAATAATTTGTTTGAAAACCAATGCCAAATTGTACACAAAAGATGTCTGGATTATTGCAGTCATCCAATATACATTACAGTAGTCATTAAACTAGTATCATAATTCTTTTAAATAGATGAATGATCTTTAAATATCATGAACATTTTACAATAACATTATAGTGATACAGTATATGGTTTTGTTGTTGCGTAAATTTAATTCAATATATTTTTATTTTACGACATGGATGCTATTTGAGGGGGACTTTTTTCTCCAACACATTTTTATTGTATACGTACCTAATTATGTCATTATTATAGCATTAAACATTTTTATAAAACATTTTATATTATTATTCTTGATTAAATAACAACTATTTTTTAAGTATTTTATTCACAGTACAATATTAGAAAACGTTAGGACTTATTAAACTTAATTGTAGTGAAAAATTATTTAAGGGGCCGGGCGAAGGAGAAAACTCGGCAAACCTCAAAGTTAACATACGGGTATGTGCTAAAACTGCAGTTTTAACAAACATTGGATCATTGGAATAATGTACCCTATCTCATTGTGATGTATACAAAAATTGTATCGATTGAAAGTGGAAATATTTTTATAATGTGTTATACAGTATTATTCAGTAATTAATAATTTTATAATTTATTTCGTTATATAGTTGGATTAGGTTGACTGAAGATACTTTTATTAGTTAAAGTACGTTTCACAATTTAGATTTGATAATAATATACTTTGTATATAGATATAATATAGGAATTTCTATTAAATCAAATTTTACATTATTTACAGTGCATTATGATTGTTCTGCATGTTTAGGTGATGATTGAATCCTGGAAAGACTGGACAGGTGCTAGGCATATATATCTCCACATTCCGTACGACCTGGGTCTCCAGAGAATCTCGCTTTTGAAAAAAGTAGCTCCCAGTTCTTTGAACTCGTTTACATATGTTGTACTCGCCGAGTGTCTGAATGTGAACACAGAAGAAAAAAAAGTAAATTATAATTTAGTTATTAAAGGACAAAAATCTAGAAAATGAATTAATTTTTTTTTAATTTTTAGATGTTACTGTTGGATTTTGTTCAAAGGATGAGAATAGAAAAATTTTTATCTGGTTACCTATCTGTTTATGAGCTTCATAATATTATTTAAGGTCAATGTTATAATATTACAACAAAAATATTCAAAACGCTAAAATATAAAACTCGCATGACGTATAACTTATTAGTATTAATTATTGTTTTAACTTAAGTTAATGTTATTTTTGATGTTTTTTAAAATTTTTGTTGATTTTTAATACTTTTTTTCAAACTATTAGTATAAGTATTAATTTTATTTACTTGTAACAATAATTACAATAATACTAAACAAATAAACTGCTATAATTTAGAAACTATAGTTAATTTATGTACTTATGGCCTATATATATATATATTATATTATCGAGATTGATAACTACCTAACTGTAAAGAACTCATATATATAACGTTTAACGTATTTACTGCTGTTTATTGTTGTCGTAGTAACATATTACTGAGATCTACCGATCAAACATGCCTATTATAATCTTATTATAGCAGTTAAGGGGTCTATTCTTGAATGGATCCATGTATGAACAACATTTAAATATTTACAGGATTTGTAAACGGATCTCGTTAGTTTATTTTCTAAATTAATACGTGTTAATTTAACTAATTTTTTTAATTTTTTTTTAATTTTTAAAAATGGTAAGTACATTTCTATTTTCTTACAAATACGTATTTATTCTTAGTTATAACTGTATTTATTTTTAATATATTAATTTTAAGGCACCAAAAAAGAAATCAAAAGGAAGCAAAGGCGCACGTACGAGTTCTGGGATCGTAGATGGCGTTTCTATGGCTGAGATGTCTAGAGAACAGCTTGAAGGGTTTGCAGCTAGAATGAAGAAAGAGCTGGAACGCGAAAGAGAAGAACGAAACTTCTTTCAACTTGAAAGAGATAAAGTATTAACGTTTTGGGAAATTACGAGACACGAGTTAGAAGAAAACCGAGCGTCATTGAGGCAAGTCAAACATTTTAAAGTTATAAATAGTTATAATAATAATGAAAACCCTAGTATTCATAGTTATTTAACAAAATTAATCAATCATATTTTACTTAAAATAGGAACAAAGACAGAGAAATAGAAGATATAGAGGAAAAGCATCAGGAAGAAATCAAAATTTATAAACAAAAGTTGAAACTTTTGATGTACGAACAGCATGTGCATCTATCAGAAATACAAGTGAGTTGTTTTTGGTTTATCTTATTTAATTTTAATGATATAAACTAAGATTGTAGTTATATAGGCTGAAAATATGGTTTCGTTGAAAATTGCCAATGACGAACATTTAAACGAAGAAGAAGAATTAATTAAAGAAAACGACGCGCTCAAACAAGAAATTGTCGAGATAAATTTACGGCATATAGAGGAAATAAATAATATTCGATTGGTATAATAATAATAATAATATGATAACCAACTACTTAAACTAATGCCCATTGACATAAAAATAAAAATGAGTTTTGTTTTCGTTGAATAATATGTATAGGAACATGCTAGAGTTATGCGTGAGCTGAAAGACAGATTTATATCTGACTGTCAAGTGATCGAAGGCAAGTATCAGAAACGTATGGAAGATTTGAGGAATCGTATGAATTTGAAGAACAAAGTGGAAGTGGCTGAGACTGAGGCTAGAAAAAACAAGCGCATAGCGGAAATCATAGAAGATCATAATAACGCATTCAACAACTTGAAAGAACATTACAATGATATAACTGTTAACAATTTGACATTAATCGGCAGTTTGAAGGTTCAATAGATTCTTACACTTATATAATATATTTTTATTATAAGTCATATTATATTAAAAATTCAACTAATATTTATAACTTTGGATCTTCAGGAAAAGTTATTAGAATTAAAAGAAGACCAGCAGAGAGCGGAAATGGACCTAAAAGAAGTAACGAAAGAAAACGAATCGTTAAAAGGACCGTTGAAAGAATCACAAATTACTGTTGAAGAATTGACGCAAAAAATGTCCAATTACTTAAAAGACAAACAACGGTTAATGGTAAGTTAATATAATGGTTTTAATCATGTGTCTTATAGAATAATCAAAGTACTCGATAAAAAGTTTTTACATTTTTCAAATATTATATATTTATACATAATTTATAACTATATATTATACTATATACTCGTATTATTAAATTGCATTGTGCATAAATGCAGTAATCTTACAAAAGTACTTTATTGCAATATTAATTACCTACTTTATATTTATTGTATAGTTATCATAGTAAAATTCAATAAATACTTGAACAATAGTATTATAGGCTTAACTAGAACTTTAATTCTGGAGAAGGGCTAATTACGTATATAAATGAGACAGAGACTCGTAGGGTCTTTGCCCCTCACATCTATAACATACTAACAATATTACAAATCTACCACAGGAATTATATAAAAAGAAATATTAATTAAAATTTATTAAAAACTGGGACCAACCCCCTCCCCCTTAATTACGCTTATAAAGATATCTTTTCTTTTTTTAAATAACTAAAAACTATACAAGCGTATTATGTGCAATAAGTAATTTTGGCGACAAAGAATTTACATTAGCATAATAAAAGATAAGAATGTAGCCAAAAGTATCACTGTGAAATGCGAATAGAGATCTAATAGTATGTTGTCTATACCAAAATACCTACCTACTCTATATTATAATATGATATAGATAACTGAAACCAAATTAAAATCTATGCATCATTGACATTAAATATAAATAATAACAAATTATATTATATTATCCGTTTTATTATTAAATTAATAAAAAACTATTCTCGATGCATCACGAATTGGTTTATTCTTGACTATAATGCAAGTTAAAGAAAACCATGTTCAAAAAAAAAATTAGTAACAATTTTTAATATATAGCTGCATATGAATAATTGCGTCCCAAAATATTTTTTATATATTTTACTTGTATATTTATGTGTATAAAAAAACACACATTATAGGCACAAATAATCCACATTTTTTAGAACCTCTATTAATTAATACTTCTTCATAATTCTATTTTTAAATTATTTTATTATTATAAATTAAAATTAATTGACTATTACATTCACTTACGACATACTTAAGTTAGTTAATATTTTAAATATTTACATTGAAACCCTGGTATAACTGCATTTTTTATGTTAAAAAAAAAATTACTTCAATTGTTAAACAACAATGAATTTTTGTCTATGTCATATTATTGCTGCAGGTACTTACTAAACGACTGAAACATTCAAATGATAAATACAAGGACCTCCAGATGGATTACGACGAGCTGAAAATGATTTCGGAGAAAGTAAGAAGATTAAAAAGTTTAAGATACTAATCACCAGCTATTTAAAACTTAAATAATGAGCTATTTGACAACATTTAGATGCAAACCGATTTAGATAACATGAAGGACGAGTATTCGGACAAATTAATGAATCTGCAGATGGAGCACGGGAAAAAATTGTTGGCGGTCGAACGTAAATTGAAACGATCGAGAGAAACTGTCGAGGAAAAAGAGGTACAGATAGCACGTTTAACTGGAGCCACGTCGGCGGACACTTCGATCGCAATGGCGATGAATGCAAAAACCGAGGTAAACCCATCTGTTTGTATAAAATATTAAATAATGCTGTGTTAGTAAGATATTGACCTAAGTACTCTCACTAGACGAAACCCACAATGAGTGTATACAATTTCATGTCAGATATACAATAAATCAATAACAAATATTATTACCACATATAATGGTTCCTGTACATTTTAAAAACAATGATAAATTGTATCTTAACAATAACAAAAATATAAACAAATTTTAATTTAAAAGAAACATTCAATGCAAATTGATTTAGATAGGAAAATTTTAAAAATAATTTGTTTTAAAAAAAGCAAATGCTAATAGTTGATATTTTAATACAGTCACTTAATCGCAAAACTTGATTACTGACTACTGTAAATTATGATACTCGAAATTCACATTTTTCTTTACAAATAATATAATAATTAAACAATTAATTATCATAACTATAAGCATATAAGGTCATAAGGCCATTTAAAAGAATTAAGAAGTGTAAAAAGATTGACTTAATTAGGTATCAATGGATAATATAATAAAATTATGTGACCTAGACTTGTTTTTTTTACAATTTATAATTAGTTTAAATAATAATATAAAGCCCTATATGATATAGGTACGACTAAATTAACAATAGCAAACATGTTTTAAACTACAAATATGAATTAACTTAACAATTTTTAAATAACCATAATAATATAAACGAAAACGAAAATTTGAATTTAAAATTTGAGTCCACGCTAGCGATAATCGTTTTAGTGGCTCATTTGCTAAATAAATAATACTTATTAGTGACTAGTGACGTACTGGCGTATTGGGTGTATCAAAGAACAGTGGTTAAATATTAGTAATCTTTCAATGAACCTAATCCTTGCAGTAGGTACATCTTCGCGATAATACTAGACATATTGTGATATTAGTGTACATTTAAGGTTCAATTATTTTTATTTAATGGGTCTCAAGCTGTTTCACAAAGACAGATATTTATACACATCAAGCAATAGCAATTTAACATTAAGCATACCATATAGTTTGGGTAGGTATATTATTCTTGCCCTGGATATTGAAATAAAATAGAGTTTCACGCATTCCAACCACTCATCGTTGTCAAAACTTATCGAAATACTTTACAAGATTTTTCAATTTATTGTAATTTACAAACTATCATATTACTATGTTATCTCTTCTAAATGGCTGAACCACATTCTGAAAAATGTTTGTATACGTTTTTAATCACACCATAAAAGTATGTACGAATCGATTCCTTAGAACTTAAAACTATTAAATAGGTAACACGTCATTACTTTTCAGGCTCTACTGGATAAGAAAAATAAATTGATCGAACAGATATGGAACGATCTAATGGCTATAACGCAGAAGTACAACGAACTGTGTAAACATTTCAAAAACACACTTCAGCATCACGGGATACAGGGCTATGATGACGGCGTTTTTGAATTGGTACCTGCCGATGACAAACACGAATATTTTGAAAACCTTTGACGACTACCGGCTACTGAAAAATAATATACATATTTAATTGTAATTTATTGATGTATCAAGACGAATAACGATGCATGCGTGGTCGTTTGATTTTTCCAAATTTTTGCACGTAATATCAAATTATGTATTGAGTAGGTTGGTACTCTACTCTCCAGAAATTTATACATCAACCATTGACCTTACCTTCTCCGTCGGGTGAACCCGTATCCAGAATGAAGAGGAATAAATGATAGGTACCGATCATTCTAAATCGTAATGACATTCGGTAATTTCTCGACAAAAGTATTTTCCTATTTGTAAGATTGTATGATATCCAAATTGCATTTAACTTAGAATAAAAATAAAATTATAAAATAATATATAACTCATATCTACTTTAAAAAAACAACTATACTCACAATTTGCACGTTTGAAGTGCTGATGCCAATTACTTGAACTAGGTACCTATTACGATTTCAATTATTTTGTTCAATATTCTATGAGTTTTAATAAAAAAGTATTCACAATGAATTGTACAAATTTTGTTAAAAATAATTTGCAAACCATATCTGTCATAAGAGATAATGATAAATACTCAATTTGACTAAGGAATTTCTAGATAATGTAGTCTACTGACATCCAATAATTAAGAACACATATTTTAAAATAAAATATAAATTAGCTTTCATAGTATCTACCTACTTCCTATGATGAACATTAAAGATAAATATTATTTAATTAAAACTATATAATATGTTATAGGTATGCAAGTAAGAAACATTGTAGCCTGTGGGTAGATACATTAAATTATAAATTACTTGTAGTAATTTTTTAGTGGTTATAATAACTATATTATAATACACCTATTACATAAATATAATCTATTCATATCAGTGCACATATTAAAAACATCGAAATAAAAAGTCAATAATAATGAATATACTAATATCATAAGACTATGTACTTCCAAAATGTTTAAGGGGCTTTAGTAGACAATTTGTTAACATTTAATGTAACTATTTTGAAAATTTTAATTAATTTTATATATTGTTTTGTACTTCTTTTTTACAAAAGTAATTAAAAAAGTGATCTCAAATTTTAAAGAAAAAATGTTGTTATTACATATAAAATATAAATATTTGCACTTTGCAGTAGGCACAAGGTTTGTATACATTACATATTTACATGGATTCTAAAATATTAAACATGTTAAAAATAATATTTCAATAGATTTATAATTTTTAATGGAATTATGATATGTTTACAAAAGAACCATAAATCTAATGTTGGCATGTTGATGTTTAATTTATCTATTATATGTTTGTGAGATAACTATCACTTACCAGCAAAAATATTATTAAAAACATATTACCTATTTTATGAAATTTTAAACACTGCCATACTAAATGCCATGTGAGAAATCTGCCAATGTGTGTAAATGTCTTGAAAATGCACAAATGTCTGAACATTATCATATTATTTATATTTCTGTGTTTATTGTATTTTAAATTAGCAATATACAATCATGAGTTTGAAAATTAAAAAGTTCAACAATACAGCTAAAATTTAACAATGAAAAAAATATATATCACAGCTAATTTAATAATAAAATTAAAAATATAAATATATAATATAGTGTAAAATAATCATTAATATAATTACACATGATAATTGCATTATAAATGTATAATGTAGTAAATATATATTATTATTTTATAATATACTAAAATATTTAGTAATATTGTAACAAATATACTCTTCATACGTATAGGTACTTTAGTATTTCAATTATAATATACAATACAATATACATCAAAAATGTATTTGACATGTTAAAAACAATTTCAAAATCAATATTAAAATTTGTTAACAATAATGATAAGTAAAATATATATTAATGTACTTGTACAAAAAATAAATCTTAAACGCAACATACTCATCGAATTTAAAAAATGATTACATAGAGTAATAGTTACGTTTCTCTCATGAATAATTCAATAGTACTATTGCATTTCAAAAATATCATTGTTTAGTTATAAGTACATCAATGTTTAAACATTTATAAATTGTAATAGATAATAGCTGTATCTAAATCTAAAAATAGATATAACAATACAAAAGTAAAAATGTTAAAAAATAAACAACCAATAGATATGGTAATGTGATTGTTTGATTCAATACAACATTACCAATTATAAAATACCAGACCATAAGTCATCGAGTACAGACTTTTTTTTTGGTAGTTCGGGTCCATCACGCTGATTTATTGATGGCTGCAGCTGAGACGATGATGAAACTGTCAATGGCTGTTGCAACCATGTCGGTGAACTGTCAGGTGAATCTATTTGAGTGTCGGCCAAGTACTTGGGATCGACTGGTATGTTCTCAGCTGAAGTAGATACTGGGATAATAGGAGAAACTGGTGCTGTAAGAGACGCTGGTATTGAAGTAGATATCAGAGTCTCCTCGACATCTGAAACTACATTACCAGATATATTGATACCATTCAATCCACCTATTTCCATAGGCTCAGGACACTGGATATTATTATTGGGACGTCGTAAAGAGGCATTCTCATCTCCAGACGAGGAAGAATTCCATTTCATGTCCCTGCCACCAGTCATACACTGTTTAATCTTTTTGATCGACCTGGGTCGGCCACGACACGAACCACGTCCTCGCCGTCTTCGACTTACAACTTTATCTTGTTCAACGGCGACGACCACTGGCTGTGGCACAGTCTGCTCAGACTTCAACTCGGCTAACTCCTGTCGTAAGTCAGCTATCCGCTGCTTCTTCGCATTCAAAACCTCCACGAACCGAGCCATTAGCCGCTGATCGTCCAACCGTCGGCCATCGACCATCGACCGCACTTCGTTCAACAGTCGGTGGTTGTCTTCGGACTGACGTCGCTCGCGTTCCGCAGCAGCCAGATCGGATAGTTCTTGACGTTTCCGTTCAGCAGACAGTAAACAAATAAGCGGTGTGATGAACGAAGTGCACATCACCGACGTCGTCGGCGTCACCTCTCTCATCCGAACCATGCCAAGCGTCGCCAAACCGAACGGATCGAGTTTAATCTTCCACGCCAACGTAATCAGTCGGTCGCCGTTATCGTCTCCCCGTTGCAAATGGTATTCGTATTTCACTGTCGGCTCGTCGCCACTGCGAACTAACGCGGCTCGAGAGTCCCGTAACCAAATGCGAATGGCTGTCGGTTTGTCGACGTCGCGTTGAACCCCCGAATGTAGGCTCTGATCAGCTGCCCTGTCACCGGTGACAAATCCCGTGTACGCTACATAATCACCGATCGACGTGTTCACTATCGCGGTTGCTCGCAACGCCTTCCGCGCCTGATCGTCAGCCGCCCCGTCGCAAAACGCCACTTTCAGGTGTACCGACTCAGTGGGCGAGTCAGTCAACGACCACTGACATTTTAACGTCGAGAACTCGTAACTACTTTCGTCGTCAGTTGTTTCGTTGGCTTCCATCGCCAAAAGACAGTTTTAAATCTTACTTAAGTCAGAGGTGGCTGAATTTTCGATTTTATAACATGATTTGCGATAAATACATAATATTATACATATATTTAGAATAAATCTATGTATAATATTATGTATTGAAATCTATTCTGTTACTGAACTGCCAAAGTGCCAAGCGATAACTTTTAATTTTAATCTTAATACTGATAACAGTTTTTAATGTGTTTTGATAATGCCGCTTTTTTTTATCAATAGTACTGATAACAGCACCATGACGTTTCGGATAGATGCATTCCAATAACATATACAATAACATATTAATATTATAACGACTTAAACGAGCCTTTAATATTAGCTTAATTAATTGTTGCACTCTGATCTCCCAAACTCTTATTTATGAACAATGGGTATCCGGCACTTTTGTAAGGTTGAATTAAATTACAGATACTAAAGATAATAATGTTAGTAAAAAATAATAATCTTTAAGGTAAAATATGAATAAAAATGAAATATATAATATTTTGACAGCTTCATTGAAATGTATTCAGTAAATAAGGACCTAAAAACAACGACCATGAATATGAATGTATTCAAAATGTATAAGCCAACAAGTACTTAACAATTTAACATAAACTGAATATTATTATTAAAATTAAAAATGTCTATAACACTTACATCTTTTACATACAATCTAGTTTCCCTCCATTAATAATAAATATTAAATACACGTAGATTAAATTGTTTTTGTGTTAGAAAGTTCAAAATGTAATTTATTTATTTTTTGTGTTAATTAGGTATACAATAAGTAATAACCCTAGGTGTAGTTAGGGGGCTTAGGGGGGGGACTTAGCTTCGGAAAATAGCCCCTCCAAAATGTAGACGAAGCCCTCCACAAATCGGTTAATGTCTACCCCTAGGAGGGCTACAACCCCCCAAAAAAATTGACTACCCTATTATGGTTATGATAATAACATAAGTAGTTTACCTTAATTATTATAATACTATTATTATATAATATATATTAACATTATTAACTATATTATACTTATTAGTTATTAGGTAGTTATTAATAATTTTTATTCTGAAAGTTAAAAATAATAAAGTTATTTATTATATATATAATAAATAATTAAAAAAGACAAAAGTACCTATTATAAAATCCATTTGAGTATATGACTGTCACTGCTTTTTCGCACATATGTCGGAATACGAGAATTGTAGAAATAAACATTAATAAGTACCAGGTACCTAAAAGTTATTTAAAACACTATAACTTATGAATATTATCATGTGAAAATAAAATCAATATATTTTATGTACAATATTAAATTTAAATATATAATAAATAATTTTGTTGTATGTTAATTTTATTACTTACGTAAATTGTAATTACAACTATATTTAATTTAAATATAACAAACAATAATATAATATAGTTATATAGATGATAGTATGATACAGTATTAAATTCAAATTAATTATATCTAATGTTATTAAATATTTTATCCACAAACGATCAAATTCTTATGTTTATCTTTAGTAATACTGGGAGTGGAATGGCATTCTTTTAATTCTATAACGCCACTCTTGGAACCTTTTATGTCGTGCAATAACCTATAATAGTAATATCATAAAATAAAATATTCATGATAATTATTTATTCAAAATTTCCTACTCATTAAAGTCTATTTAAGGTATGTACCTGACAACATAGAACGATAAGTATAAGCAGTTAAGTTGGATTACAAAAAAATATTAGGGTTTTGTGATTTTTATTAAGAATTAAGGTATACTTACTTTTTATTGACACCTAGTTTGTTTATATTTAATAATTTATAGTTTCCCGATATATTAATAAATTTAGTCACAAATTCTATCAAATATGGCACTTCAAGAATTATATCACCCTGAAAAGAAAACAATTTACATAGATAATAATATTAAATAAAAGTAAACGCATAACAAAGATTTACTCGAATTTTATTATTGTGGGCACATGGTTTATATTTTTTTGCAACGTTTACATTTAAAGAGGCAAAAAAGTCACATAATCATGCCCACCCCCTCAGCTCTCTAATAATGTTTAAAATATATTATTGGTCCCTTAATATAATCAAATGTACAAATAATTTTAAAATAATACAAATAATAACTTTTTATATTATTTTAAAAACTTGGAAATAATTTAAAGGAGTACCATTTCTAACCACACTATCTGACGTCAGTGGTTAGGTCTATTATTAATTATAATTTTTTATAATAATCTATAAACATATTTATAAACATTTTATGATTATTATTAAAATTACAGACATATGGTAGCACAAATATTAAAGCAAGTAAAATTTTTTATAATTAAAATGTGAGTAGGTAGGTACTTAGATATTTGTATAGTAAAATATAGTATATACCTTATTGTGTTTAAATAGAGATGAAATTTTGATGAGTAGAAAGTTATCCATTCCCGAAGTGACTTCTAATTTTTTTATATAATCCAACGGTATTTTTTCTTTGGGTTTTAATTTATTTTTAAGAATTTGGTTTAAACAGAAAGATTTGTTTGTCAATATCAACAATCTAGTTCTTCGTTTATATCCTTTTCGGTCGAATTTTACCACTTTGACACCATACTACAGAAATTATCAAAATAATTTAGCAATATTCTTAAATGTGTAAGTATACAAGTGCAATTAAATATTTAGATCATTTAACACTCATTCCCAACTACAAATAATCCAACCGTCTCAAACACGGTTAATATCAATTAGGTTGGTTACTCAATGGAATCTGTGGATACAAAATTGTACATTTTTACTTTTTATTTTACGCCTATGTACATAATAAATGCTAATCACCTATTATTAAATAAAATAAATAATTGTTTGTAATTCTTACAACATATTTTTCATTTAAAGTGCGCATAAATGTCATTTTCAAATACTTTTCTAATGAATTCAACCGTTCATTCAAAAAGAAACTACGTGTATTACATTCATAGCTGCATTTTTTGTCTGAAATTAGGTATAACATTATTAGATACAATTATTATTTTTTTAAATATGTGTTTAATTAAATCATCGAAAGAAACTAAATGTAAAAACACGTAGTAAATTTAATTAACCACCTTTAAAAAGGTACTCGGCGAGTATTTGCAGTTCTATTTGTTTTTTGCGTTTTAAATCTTGTGAGATTTTGTATCTTTTATTTTTCCAAATCATATGAATTTTTCTCAATTTACTAGTTGCCTGAAAACAGTAAATATAAGATAACAATAATAAATATTTTTTAATTTATTTAATTATTATTAACTTCAATAATGTTTTTGATTAGATAAATAGATAATGTGCTTAATTCAAAATTTTAATTTTTTATATGATAAATAGCTATTACAAGCTAGAACAAAAATAATAAATTAGAAGTTTTAAATAAAAAGATGGACAATGAGTAAAGAGAACAAATCAATTAAGCCATTTTTGGGTTAATATCTTTTAAGAAAAATAATACCTATTCTAAATTTCTAAATAATTTTCTTCTTAAATATGTATGTATTTTTTTTCATCTTAAATCATTAATAAAAAACCATTTTAGTAAATAAAAAAACGAGATATTTATTTTTGTGATTTTGACTTATCTTCTTTTACCCTTGCGCCATTTAATTGTATATTATGTACAACTTTTTATTTATTATCGTATAAAATATTATTTAGTAAACACTTATACGTTTGTAAATTATAAGTGTAAGTTTAATGAGTAATTACTAACACATAATTGTGTACCATTTAAAACTTACTTTGTTAAATATTTTTTTATGCCAGCCTCTGGGTAAAATCCTCAAATTTGGAATAGATCTTGTAAATCTGCGTACGATTTGCCTTCGGGTATGTGTAATAAAAGTCCGTTTAAGAGAAAGTTCTTCTTTTACCATTATTTTGGATAGTAATTAACTTTTTGACGAATTTTATTTTTTTTTTAATTTTAATTTTAATATTTTCATTTAATAAATTTAAACCACAAACGATTAAGTGAAAAAATTACAAAGTTAAACAATTAATCGTATTTGTCTAAATAAATTTAATCAAAAAAAAAAAAAAAAAATAATAATAATAATAATAAGTACAGAATTTACGTCCGTCTATAATAATGTTATACAATCCAGTATACCTCACGATTTAGCTTTAGTATGGTATTGTTGTATAGTTCCTTCGATATGCCTTGACTATTGCACAAAACCATATTAATATGCCCTCTTTAACTATTTTGACCTCAGTTGAATTAAACGTTTTATAACTCTTAAATCGAAATGTATGACGCAAATAAATATGTAGTTCAGCAAATCAATGTATATAAATAATTAGTTCAATTTAAAATGCATAACTATTAATGATATAATTTTAATGAGTTATGTAGGTACCTATATTGTATACATAGGCGCCAACTCCACGGGGGCAAAGGGGGCGATCGCCCCCGTGCATTGTTGTACTTCGTTCAGTTGCATGTTATCTTGGTTTAAATATTTACAAATAGAGAACGTGACTGCTCTAGACCATTTGTGTGGTGGACGATACGATAATCTTCTTTAATATCTGTTATAGAAAACTATAATGAACTAGCCGACATTTTGTCAGTTTCAAAACAGAAAATAACGGTACAGGATCTAAAAACAAAAGTTTTTAAACGTGAAATCTTCAGATACTTACATAATGCTTAAAATATTAATTAGTATTTTAAACATATGGAAACAACAAATACAATATTACAAAATGAAATCTTTATATTTTAGCTTTCGTACAAATTTTAGACACTGGAAGATAGGCTAGTATGAAGATACATTTAACAATTTTATGGAAATCTATAAAAACGAATGGTCCAGATTTAAATTGATCCACAAAAGAATCTAGAAAACAGCCACTCTTAAATATGATGTGGTACTTACAAGGTCTTTTATTTACCTGAAAGTAAATATAATAAATATATAAAGAAATTATTGATCATATACTATCTGGTTTACAATTAAGATTTAATTCTGATTCAATTTTTAAGTGATGTTGAAATGTTTTGTGATCAAGTATATCACCACAATTAATTTACCAAATTTTATAAAGATGATTTAAATATTGATAAACTAAAACTGCACAGACATGTTTCATGATATAATTAAAGGCCAAGGCTTAAATGTATCATCATTTTCAGATGTTTACCGTATTGCTAAAGATAAACCACACTTGGTCATTCATTTAACCGAACTAAGAAAATGCATACAATTGATATTGACGGTACCAGTCACAACGTGTACTACTGATAGTCTTTCTATAGTTAAGAAGATTGAAAATTATTAAGCCAGAAGTGCCATGACACAGCAGTTTAGAATGATTTGGCGGTTCTCGATCACAAAACATTGTAACATCTTTGGACTTATGCAAAATAGGAAATACTTTTATAAATAAGTGTTAAAATAAATACTTTTCGCATGACAAATAATATATATGTATATATTATAATATAACGTTATTACAATAAAAATTACTATTTTTCTATATTTTCATGTAAATATTAACGAAATATAAAGCCAACAAAAGAAGAATTAAAATAATATAATGCATAATATTTTATTTTGTACCCTATAAAGATATTAACAAAGAGTTAAAAGGGACATTCAGATAATTACCTCCCGATCAGTAAGCCTATGAATTTTTCCGGTGTA